TTCGATCCTTAAACTTTATTCTTAGATAATATCAGTTTTCATCCTCCCAAGGTGATCCTTTCTGGGCAGCCCTGCTTGCAAAATGCCACGCACGCCCTTTGTAGCCGGTATACCTAGGCGTGGGGTCCCTGCACGTGTTATAGAGTTCAATTAGTTTAATTCTAGAAAGAGATATAGATTCGGTAGATTTACTGAGCTTTTCTCTATTTCAGGTTGTCGGGACCTTGTGAATCCCGTCACTGGTCGATCGAATTGCCCAAAATTGATTGCATACTGCAATAACAGCAGCTACAGAAAGCTAATGGAACAACAATGCCCAAAAACATGCAGATTTTGTAATTAGTAGATGCTCTTTCGGATGCTTCGAAAGTGAGCAAAATTGATTAGTATAGTTCTCATGATAAAAAATAATTAATACGACTGCCTTTTTGGTATTAGAACAGAATGCATTCTCATGACATACAGTAATACGAGCGCGTGCGGGCGCGCCGGCCGGCCGAGTCGGCCTGCGGTATCGATCGAGCAACTTTGTTAACAAGAGGTAAGCTCCGCCCCCGGCCGGCGGACTATGAAAGCAGCCTAGGAGAGACACACGAATAAGTTTTTTCTCGCCATTCTCGACAATTTAGTAAATAGCATATTTATCGTAGAAGCGCTTTAGCAAGCAGTAATTGTTATTGTAATTGTTCTAAAAGGCGCAACGTGCGAGATCTAAAAGAATTCGAAATGACGGTGGGAAACTTAGCGCTCTGCGGTCTGATATCACAGCTTAAGCAGCATATAAAAGACCGGCATATGCGAGCGTGGCGATTCTAAGTTTTTTTTTTCATCTTATGATTGTGCTACTTACAGAATACTTGTCTCCAGTTGATTGCTATCTTACTGTATACTNTTAATGACGCAACAGTGTCCGAAATCCTGCAACAGATGTAAAGAGGCGGCCGCGACACCAAAAGGTAGGCGGAGCTTCTCACAAACTGGTCAATTAATAAATATTTATCCCAGCACAAAAAATATAAACCACCCTTTACTTGAGCTAGTACATGGGTATGAGAAAAGGGACAGTTTCGAATTCTTAAGAATACTTTGCCAGCTACTTCTAGCTTGTACCACTTCGATCCTTAAACTTTATTCTTAGATAATATCAGTTTTCATCCTCCCAAGGTGATCCTTTCTGGGCAGCCCTGCTTGCAAAATGCCACGCACGCCCTTTGTAGCCGGTATACCTAGGCGTGGGGTCCCTGCACGTGTTATAGAGTTCAATTAGTTTAATTCTAGAAAGAGATATAGATTCGGTAGATTTACTGAGCTTTTCTCTATTTCAGGTTGTCGGGACCTTGTGAATCCCGTCACTGGTCGATCGAATTGCCCAAAATTGATTGCATACTGCAATAACAGCAGCTACAGAAAGCTAATGGAACAACAATGCCCAAAAACATGCAGATTTTGTAACTAGTAGATGCTTATTCGAGGGATGCTTCGAAAGTAAGCAAAGATTGATTAGTGTAGTTCTCATGATAAAAAATTTTAACGACTCCCTGTTTGGTATTATAACAGAATGCGTTCTCATGACAAACAGTAGTATGAGTGCGTGCGGGCGCGCCGGTCGGCCGAGTCGGCCTGCGGTATCGATCGAGATAACTTTGTAAACAAGAGGCAAGCGCCGCCCCCGGCCGGCGGACTATGAAAGCAGCCTAGGAGAGACACACGA